TGTTTACGTGTGTCTATGTGTGTCTGTGAGTATGTAAGTGTATAAGTAAAAACATGAGTGTTTTTAGATATATCCCCAAACGTATGTACGGGTCTTTGTGTTGTGCGTATGTGTGTTTGTCAGGTACATTTTGAATACCATTTTGCTCCCTGAAACGTGGCAGAACGTCTGAACCATTCTGTCGATAATAAAAGCAAAAATAAAGCCAACACAAAAGATATTTTCACTTTGGGATTTTTTACTTGCATATTCGTAATTCATTTCAATTTAAAAAAAAAAAAAAAGAAAAAAAAACAGAAAAAAAACAACAAGAAATATTTAAAAAAACACAAAAAAACAACAACAACCAACTGCAAACGCCCCCCCCCCCCAACCCTAACCTTTCGTGAAATGTCCCATCATCCACAGTAATATGCCATGGTATGGCGATGGTTCCATCTCTAACATTGGTGGGATTCTACTTCCGGCGACGCCGTGGCCTAGCAACGACTCTGGGTGCCATGGGGATATGTTGTGCCGTCATTGTTGTCCCGCCTCTGACGAGATATCTGCGAGAGGAGTATGGCTTCAGGGGATGCTTCGTTCTCATAGCAGCCTTTGAGGTATGGTTAAAAAAAGAGCATAGAAAATATAAAGTAACCCCTTCCCCCCCCCTAAAAAAGGAAGAAAAGAAATCCAACAATTAACCCCCCCCCCCAAACAACAACATTTTTAGTTAACGTTTACATTCTTTTTACTTTTTTTTTTATCCAGCAGCCGTCTGAGTTCTGAAATAACACCAACAACATGAACAACAACAACAACAACAACATCATCAACAACAACAACAACAACAACAACAACAACAACAACAACAGCTACGGTACAGTTGCGATCCGTGAAATAATCATAGGTCTTATATTTCACACTGATAATATTATTTGAGGTTTGGAAACCCCCCCCCCCAAACCACACACGCATAAAAAAAAAACCAAACAAGCTAGGGTACATAAGTTATCACTGTCATAAAGATAGTGCTTTACACACATAGCAGCTTAACTTGATATACACGAACCCCAAACAACTACGCGCGCTCGCAATTCCTGTCATAGTCATAGGTCTAACTTTCCACACTGGCATACTTAGTAGTATTTGAGGTATGAACCCCCCCCCCCCCAGTATATTCGCCCTCTTTTTTCTATATCTATACATATTAAATTTGTGAAGGTTCGCCACTTTGGTCGCCAAAAAATTCCGAACCGCTTAACTTTCGAATTTGAAAAAAAATTAACGGTAGTTCAGAATCATTTCAAGGTGGCACAGTTTATGCTTAATGTAAGAAGGGTTAACTGAAAGCATTATTTTTATTATTATTATACTACAGCAGTTTCTATTTTTAAACTTTTATCACGTCTATTTTCAGATGCATGCTATAGCCGCTGCGTTACTTCTGAGACCTCGACCCAACCCTACAACAAGAAAGGTAGAGAACGAGGAGGTTTCTCATGCCCATCTCAGCTCGGACAGACAAAGTCACTATCACATTGCAAGCGCAGAAAACAGCAGTGATCGTCAATACCGCGAACAGTTTCAGAAATTGTTGTTGGAACAAGAGCTAAAACAAGACCAATTCGATCTAGAAAAAGGTGTAAATGGTAGATCGGGAGCAATGAGACTTCATGGCGATCATCGAAAAAGAACACTTTCATTCCAAAGTGACAGAACAGGGGTATTTGGCTCTTTTGAGCTCAACGGTAACAGTCAAGAGGAATTCCAAATATTCGTCGCGGGTTCTCAATCTTTAACGACGCTCCCCACTCGAGACATTGGCTCAAATCAATCTCTTGAAAAACAGCCCAGCAATAGGAAGTTCAAATCTTTGTGCGCTTGCGTCAAATCAATCGTTGATTTCTCCTTACTGAAAAACTTCCTGTGTATTTTCTGCCTGATGAGTTACACGCTGAACATAACGGGAGTATACACCAACATCTACCTGCCGTCCTACGCCACGGTTACTTTGGGTATTTCCCCTTCAAAAGCTGCCATTTTACTAACCATCGTCGGCACTCTGGATATGGTCAGCCGACTCTTCTTCGGGTTTCTCGCTGACTTGAAGATAGTGAGGATCAGTAGGATTGTCGCTTTCACCTGCCTCTGCTTGGGAGTTTTGCTGCAACTGACTCCTCTTTTTCAAACTTTTGAGACGCTGGTTTTCTTTGCAGTGGGCCATGGCTTGTTGCATGGTATCGGGTTCAGCCTCAACTCCGCCTTAGTCGTTGAAGTCATAGGGCTGCAGCATTTGGCTAAGATTCTGGCTCTTTCTAGCCTCATGGCCAACGTAGCCTTAACCATACAGCATCCGATACAAGGTAAGTCCTCCGCTTGTTTGTGTCTGTGTGTCCGCGAAAATGAGCATCGGGGAGTGTTTTTAAAAAAATAATGTAAGTGTATTTACACCCAGATCGACATAATTTAGATAATTTGGAATGCGGGCGTCGACCCTGCTTCAGAGAGATACAGGTGGGTGATTGGCGGGTGCTCTTGTGTGGTTTGCGTCTTCTTTCCTATCAAACATCTGTCGTCCTTTTCTCCCCTTCTTCTTTTTTATGTTTGTTTCTATTTTGTAACACCCCTAATCTCATTGCGCTCATATGGCCGTATGCCCTGAAACATCTACTAAAACTAAAACGAAGAAAAATACAAGGTACCAGCAGAAAGACCGAGACAAACACCCCAATCTCTACCTGCCGCTTTCTCTCTTCCTCCAACCTCTCTCTATCTCAATAAAACAATCTCCTCTTTCTCCTTTAACCCCCCCCCCCTCTTTCTCCATCTACCCCTCCCTCCCCTTCTCTTTTCCTCTATCAATCTCTCTCCCCCTCCTCCCCTTTGTCCCCTCTCTCTCTTATAATTTTCTTTTCTCCAACTTTCCTCCCCTCTGACCCTGACATTCTTAGAGCTGGGGGGGGGGGGGGAGTTAAATACTTGTAAAGCAACGTGGTGAAATCAGGTTCTCGTCAAAATAACCAAAGTGAAGAAACTGGGATTTTTCCGCAAGTTTGTGAATATTTATCGAAATTTTGGGGGTTTTTTTTAGCTTAACACCTTTCATGCCCATTAAAGAACCCATCTCAGTGTGGATTATACTGAAAAAAACGTTGATTAAAAGCACAAAAAATGTAAATTTTCAGTTTCCATTGATTCTCAAGCTACGGAAAAAACTAATCTTTGTCTGCCATTTTCTCGCTAATTTTACCTCTGAAACCAGGTGACCCCCCATCTCATTTATACGAAAATAATTAGACTTTTATACAAGATAAATGGAAATTTTTTTTTCTTCCAAAGCAAGACTAATGAACTAGCTTTAAGAGGATACCAATAATTCCACATACTCCCTAAACTGACGAGAGCCTGATTTCACCGAGTTCTGACACATTTTTTAGGGAGTTAGTGAGGCACAGCGTCGGCTGATGTTTATTGTACTGTAGAGACCACGAGTGTGGGTGGTTGGCGGTGGCTCTGGTATTCTTTGCTTCTCCTTTCTTATCAGACATTACAATTGATGGTCTTTACCTCTCCCCCTCTTTAATGTTTGTTACTCTCTGGTAACACCTGTACTCTTTGGCACTTATATAGCCTTATTGTGTTGCAAACGCCGTAAAACTCTTTCTGAATCAAAAGAGACCACAAAGGCAACATTATCGTTTTGAATGCACTATTACATGTTTGTGATAGCATTCGTTTCAGAAATATTTTCTGGTACATACCGTAGTGAAATAATATCCCACCTTTCTTTCTCTCTCTCCGATCTCACACCAGGGATTTGATTCAACAACAGTCTGCTAACCAGTGGTCATCAATTTGTTGTTCTCATCCCGAGCGTCTGTGGTGTAACGCTTACCTGTCCCCGCATAATTTAGCAAAATTTGATCTTTTTTGCATAATTTCTGATTATTTTCCTTTATCTTTCTCTGTTAAAACTAATAGAATTGCATAATTTCAGAATTATTTTTTTTGCGTAAAACCAAGGGGACAAGCTTATTTACTGAGACTTAAACAGTTGCTGCTCTTTAAGTCCTGATGGTTACTCTTTAAGTCTCGACGGTCGCTTTCTAAGTCTCAAACGGTTACTCTCTAAGTCTCGAGCGAGGTTTACACTCTAAGTCTCAATGGTGACGTAGTAAACTGTTACCGTTCCATCAATCATGATTGACCTTTTTTCTGTCCCCAGGTGCTCTCATCGAGTGGACCGGTGGTTTCACAGCGACCTTCCACTACGTCGGTGTCATGTTCCTGCTCGCCTCTGTGCTCCTTATTTCGGAGCCAGTGGTTCAGAGACTGCAGAAGAGGAGAGAGGACAGAGAATGGTCACGCTGCGCAAGGAACATGGCATGATGATAAGTGACTTGATAGCAAGCTTTTCGTTTCGTTTTAGAAACGTTTTACGGCGCTCGCAGTTGCGTAAGGTCATTTATTATGAGCGCCATGTAAAGGGGTGGATGTCAACAGAGAAGTCCAAACGGGGAATCAGGCTTACTCTCTTCAACTCTCTAGCCTCAACAGCACAACGTCTGTTTTAACTATTAAGGCACCCCGGAAATAGCAGTGCTCAAGAGAGTGACAAACACGCAAAAGAAGTGGAGAAAAAAATGACGACAGTAAAGATGAGGAAAGAAAAAGCAGTAGTTCCCCCTATGTTGTTCCGCACATAATGAGCATGGCTTTGATAAATTTTGATCAGCCTATTTACAATTCTACTGTGCATAAGAACAATGTCTATATCCCCCCCCCCCCCCTCCACTTTTATAATGGCTTGCATGGTTTGAGCAGGCGCAGCGTTCGTTCAGATGGTAAAATGCTGGACTTGGGAGCAGATGGCTCTGGTTCGATTTCCCAACAGAGAATTCTGAATTAATTGTTGTTTTGGGGAGGGGTTTTTGTTGTTGATTTTGTTGTTGTTATTGTTGTTGCTGTTGTTGTTCTTGTTATTTAATTCTCCCCTTATTTGGCTAGGTCTCTCCGGAGATTGACATTTCGATTCGGAAATCCTGCCTCCTAACGTTAATCCTTTGCAGTGAGAATGACAGAGATTTGAATTGAAAGAAATACATCAACACTATACCAGCCATTATGTGTAGGGAAAATAAAAGACACACTGAAACAATGGATGGGAAGAAAAGAAACAGGATCTTCTAGTCTTGTGGCGCCTCCAACCACCCTCTAGCGTTGTATAAGACAAGGTAATGGAGGGAAAGAAGAAGAATAAAACTACATAATATATGAACGTATAATATGTATATGTATATATA